ATTATTTTTTAGTTAAAATAAATTTTTGAATATAATATTACGAAAATTTTCTTCTTTAGCTTTTTAACATTTTTAACACTACTAATACATATGTAATGGTAAACAAACGTCCAGAATTAAATTTCTCTCAATTTTTAAGCAAACAATAAAAGCAAGTGTGGCAAGCCAAACGCAACTGTGGCAAAATTACATTTAATAAATTCGAAAAATAATTTTGCAAAACTAAATAAAAACATTAGCGCACAGTGGGACAATATAAAACAAAACAGACAAAATTTTAACGCAACACATTTCACACAAAAAAATATACTAAAGCAAAACTCAAACCAGACGAGCAAACAAAATTTAATAAAAAATAACGAATAACGGTAAAATGATCATAAAAAACGAAACCGAGCATTCAAACAATTACGAACGAGACAAAAACGTAAGGAAGTAGCGAGCGAAACAAACAAGTAGCAACAAAACAACGAAAAAATGTGCAGCAAGCAATTTAAGCTGGAGCTTTGGTATAAAAGCTTTAGATGATAGCATATTTAAGAATCTACAGCTAGAATACCAAAGACACAGCAAAAATGATTTGAGAGATTGATTGGCTGGTTGGACGATTGATTTGTCGATTGATTGATTGATTGATGATGAGTTTAATGGTGCAACTTTTTTTTCTAAAACAATTTTTTAAACAGACAGGTACATAAACCCTGCATGAGCGTCGCTTTAAAACGGAATTTCGGCCCGAATAATATGACACAAATATGTAGAAACTTTTTTCACACGACAAAACGACAATTTAATACGACGAATATGGGTAAGAAAAACGCAAAAAAAAAATACAGAACAAAAAACGCAAGCCGCACTGCAGGCGATAATAAAGGCGGCGTATGAAAATTCACACAAAAAATTGGTATATATAAAATAAAACGGCACGTATGGCAAGTGCAACCGAGGCAAATAATGAAATATGTTCGACTTGATTGATGAGGATGCGCGGATGTGACGAATAACGAGTTGGACGGATATTGTTACTAAAGCGCACGAGTGTGTGTGTGTGGCATTATGAATATAACACATGCATCCGGATAAAATATATATCTACATAGTGGAGCACGGCGCTAGCTGGGCGTGTCACCCAGCGATGCATGAGCGTCATAAAAAAATAAGCGCATATTTATATGTGGTTGTGTGTGTGCAGCATGGAATTCTGAATTTCTTTCGCAGGATGTGTGGGCGTTTTATGACACGAGACACCCTGTTGCGGCCAGGCGTGTGCCAGTAGGCAAGGGAATAGACGAAACATGTGAACAGTTTTTTCGATATGTGCGATGCATGTAAGCGCCATAATCTATATACAATATAAAATAACAACAAAAACAAAACAAATACATGCATTCTAATCAAAATTGTGTGTTGTTTGTGTGCTTGGAACGTGTTGTGCTATAAAATACAGTTGCATTGCGCGAATTTTAAGCGCACGAACTAACTTGGTGCGGTTTTTCTTTGGTGTTAGTTAAAAAAATTCTATGTAGCGGCTTATTTTTATTATATAATATTTTAAATGCATTACTCACCACCAGCCAGCATGGTGACCAGTATAATCCCGCAGGACCAGATATCGGCGGGTTGTGCGTGGTAGGGTTTTATAAGTACTTCAGGCGCTACATATGGTAAAGTGCCGCAGCGGGTGTCCAGTAAGCGTTCTTTGCCTTTGTATCTGTGTGTTTGGAGAAAAATAGTGAAAAGCGAAAATGTGTAATTGATTTTAGTGAAATTCTGCACGTAAGCCGATTAAGTGGAATTTATTGTAAATATTAGTAAGAAATAAATATTATATTGTGCTAACTGTAAATTTCGAAAATGCAAAGTGGATTGAAAATGTATTAGAAGCATAGGTAAATAAAAAGAAACAAACGTTAACTTAGACTGCACCGAAGCTACAATACCCTTCACTTGAGCAATTGTTATAGCGTAAAAGGGTATAAAAAGATCTTTATTTTGGTTTTGATCAGTCACTTTGTTTGACTTTATATGCTATAATGGTATAGTGCGTCACACGATTGGAATCGAGTAAGTGATCAGTTCAATTGAATCAACCGTCGCTTTAAGCTGATATGAACTAAACTGAAGCTGTACTGAAGACGGCCACGTCCACGTATATTTACTTGATCATAGATTGTTCGTGTTGCATCAAATCAGTTGATGCAGGTCGGTACTTGACATGATCAACAATGTTGTGCATGATCAGCTGCTTCGATTTGATTGTGTTTTCAGCACAAATATTTGATCTGACTTAATATCGGATTGATTTCTCAAAAACTAAGAGATTATTTCGCGAATATACAAATCGATAGACGAACTTGATTAAATCGACTCACACTAGTCGCACTGACCTTTTATACATATATTATATGTATGTATACACAAGCAGCGAAAAAAAAGAACGAAAGGAAGAACGACTGGCGCGGTGTCGTAAACTCAGCTATAACCGCGTAAGCGGTGTCTACGCCGATCAAGAAGAATAAATATATACTTTATCTCCGACGTTTCCTTCTTAAAATTTCTTTTAAAAATTTCGTGGTAAACATAAATATATACCCTGTTCAAGGCATAAATATGCTAATTACAAAAAAAATAAAATAAAAATTGTTGTACCTAATACCTAAACATTGTCGCCATGCCGAAATCCGATATTTTAATATTATCATGTTCGTCCAGCAAAAGGTTTTCCGGCTTCAAGTCACGATGCGCTATGCCATGTTGATGCAAATATTGTACGCCGGAAAGCAGCTGCAAGAAATATCTTTGGGCTTCATGTTGTGCCATGCCAACATCAGGTTCTGAAAGAGATGAAAATAAATGTGATTTATATTGTAGCTTAAGAAAATATTATTTTTTTGTAGTTTAATATAATTGTCGTTTTTTTGGTAACCAAATCAAATAATATATTATATTAAAAATAAGAAATTCACTCAACTTAAAACTAAATTAATAGAACTAAATAATAAAAGTATTATAAAATATGAAAATAAATTCAGTTGGCAGCGCCTAATGGAACAGAGTTTACATTTTCAACATGTTGAATACTAGGTTTTAACACAAAATGGTAAAAATTTTAAATCTAACCTCAAAAATTTACACTATTTGGAATTCGAGGTGCATTGTTATGAAAGTATAGAAATATATTTGTACTATTTAAAATAAATAAATATATATATACTATATAAATGTTTTGCGGGAATTTTTTTCCAAATACTAAAAAAAAAGTTAGAACCTTCTTCAAAGGATTGAACTTGAAACACTTAATATTTTAGCCGATAATAAATATTCTTGTTTTTTTTCATGTAAAAAATCAATTTAAATACTTTTCTTTTAATCCCGAACATAGTCGCCAAGGAAGAATGACTTCGTGTCAATTTTGGGCACAGGTAAAATTTCTGGCACAGCCTTGGTAGGCGAGTCTTTTTGGCAAACATTATTGAAAAGGACATCTTACCTCAATATTTATTGGAAAGCGAAGAGATATTGCAAATATTGCAGATACGAAGGCGTTGATCGAAAAAGAAAATTCTGATTTGTAAATGCCGACACATCTTTATTTCTATTTACAACACGCGTTTTAAAATTGCGCAAAGAAGTCAAGAATCCGCACGGCATTGTATATTTAAAAATATATTCTTTCCACGAAACCGGTAAAGATCGATTTTTCGAATATAACAAGTGCTATTAATTTCGAATAATATTTTAAGTTTAGAACAACAGCTTAGAGAGTAATACAACATTACTGTAGATTTAAGAACGTGTTCGAATGACTTTCTCCGGTCAACTGAGGTTGCGGAGTGAGAAGTGATGCCGAAGCACTGATAGCTACAGCTATGAGACTGCGTGTGTCAGGGGTCAGCATAGAAAAATTAGCAGGTAGTTTCAGATTTGTGTAAACACACACACTTACAAGTGTTAGGCGGCGGTAAACAGACTGAGGATGAATTGCAACTTCCACCATACAGCTGAAATGTGAAAAAAATATAAAATATTCGTAGGTAAAATGGCTAAAACAGAAGATAAAGAGGTAGAAAGGCAGAGACGATCCGAAAACTAACAGATTGTATAATGGAATGTACGTTAAGGCTAGTGGCGAGCGCATGTAAAACAATAACCAGTGATTTAAAAATTGGAAAAGGCGGATTGAATTACAACAACTGCATGCATACAAACGACAAATTACCAGGTAGCCGTACAATACATTAAAGGACATTGTAGGGATAAATCAATGTGTGTGCGCATGGAAGGCAGCTGTGAAAAACATACATAAATCATTAAAAATCACTAAGTTGCATAAAACGCATTTGTAGGTAACCCAGTAGGCATTATAGTGACGCTGGAAAAGTATCTTCAAATCAAATTTTAAATTTCAACATTTCAGAAAGAACTAGTAAATGCCCCACACTAGTTTTTTTTTTCAGGAGAAAATTCTAAGACATTTTATGAAATTTTAAAATCAGATTTAAAGCTGGGTTTGATATCGGTGGAATCTATGAAATTATAAAAGTCGAAAATATCCGTAACAATGGAAGGGAAACCAAATTTCGAAAGAGGTTTTTCGACAATGGTCCCAAGATCGATCGCAAGAGATCTAGTGATCTCTTTGTCCTCAATAAGGCCAGCCTCCCCTCACCTTTCTTCGACAATATTCACGAAACCGATTCAGAAAATTTACTTTTATATCGAATCAAGTCTTCAAGTAAACACAAAAATACATTATTCCAAAAAATACTAGCTAAAACACCTGGGACTTGGAGGACGTATCTTTTTCGAAGGGGTCACCGGTAATGGCGTCGCCATAGCCGAGTTGAAAATATTTTTTCCACAAATTTCAGAATTTCTATGTTAATAGTGTATGTTTGAAGCAATAAAAAATTCTAATAAATCATTTAATTTTTAATATGAAAACAAAACTGTTGAAAAGCACGTTGTTGTTATTGTTGCAGCCTCAGAAATAATTCCACAAATTATTGGCTAAAATGATACCGAGTTGCTCGTCTTTGGTCAACAGAAATTCGTTTCCATTCTGTTTACGTACACCTGACAGTCGTGGAAACGGTACCAACGCATGTAAGAATTAGGAATAATTTTACAAGTACAAGGTAATATCTGCAAAGCAATAATATCCTTCATAAGTGCATTTCTTATAACTTCAAAGGGTATACAAAATTCTTATTTTGATTTTATCAATCAATTTGTATGGCATAGCTGCTATAATAGTCCGATTAGAATTATTTTTTCGGAGACTCTAGTGTTGCCTTGAACAATAACTTATGCCGAATTTCGTGAAGTTACCTTTTCAAATGTAGAAGTTTTCCATACAAGCACTGGATTTCGACCGTTCAGTTTGTTTATAGTCGTGTCATATTGGCGCTTCTGTCATATGAGCAGCTTTTTGAGGAGAAACGAACGTGTCTAAAWTTTCAGTTCGATATCTCAAAACCGGAAGCTAGTCCTTCGCGTATATACATGGTAGCCGACTCAGCTCGATACGGTGATCTACTATAAATTGATTTTATTCGTTTCATTTTTTTTGGGTATAGCAAACTTCGTGGCATTTTAAAAACAAACTGCTCAGAGTATAAAAGTCAACTTTGAATTATAATTAATTAATAATTAAGTAATATTTCTTATAAAATAGCTAATCCAAGTCGTTAGCAAGTAATTTCTAATCTGGAATCGAGTTGGTGCAATGACCTAGGTAGCAGCAATAAATTTACGATTCTCCTGCTACATTATTATATTATGAAAGCAATAATAATAACTTAAAGTACATATGTTTGTGGTTAATTTTTTTTTTCTCAATTTTTTCTTTTTAATTTTTTCCCTGCTTGAGGATGAATATAAACCATGAAACAGAAATTATTAAATCATCAAGTATATATAAGTGGAAATACAAATACATAATATATGAACATAAAAGCAGTCGCTAACTGTACATAATTACAACAAATTAACATTTGCAATCTCTGCTTCGTTGTAAATAATTGTGCTGGCTCACTTTGTGGATGACGTTGCACATTCTGATTTATGGGATGCCTACGGACGGTTTTTTATTTTAGCAGTTTCTTGCAACTTGCTGCAGCAATTGGACAAGTGAATCACTAAAAGGACACAAACATATCGGCACACATAGACACACATAGCTCCATAAGCGTTTAGTATGAAAAGTGGTTGTTTTCAAAGCCAAGCAAAGAAAAACAAAATTATTCAATAGAGTAAACAGGTAAAAAATAGGAAGAAGGAAAAAAACGAATGCAGTTAATGGGACAGTAGTGAAAACAAAAGGTAAAGAGGGCGCAAAATAATGCTGATTGTCAAGGTATACTTAAGCGCACACACGGACACACAGTTGCATGCAAAGGCAAAGATGCTTTATGTGTGTGCGTATGTGTGGGTAAAGGACTTTTTAACGAACATTTATGGCCACATTTTCAATACGCTGATTTACCTGTAGACAAACCAATAGGGTACCTACGAGAGCCAATGAAAGTATATGTTGTACGTGTTTGTGTGTATGTACCCAGTAGTAGGTAGTGGAAGTGGAAACAACAAACTGTGTACTCACAACGTACTCGACCGCCGAGAAATGCATCTGTAAGTGCACTTAGGAGGAATATGGCAAATGTGAGTGAGTGAGCGTACGTAGGAGGCGGCAGAAAGCCGAGAATGCAGTCGGCGACGGCGTTGATGGTGACTTGGCCGGTCGATTGATGGTTGTTGAGAATAAGTATTTTCCACCAACAAATACATAAATAGAGGCAAACGCACACACATGCGCACACATGGCACATACACAAATGCAAATGCAAATGGCAAAATATTTTACAAAGTAACGTTTGCTAAGGATGCTTCACAGGGCAGGACATACGTATGTACATATTTATGTATATCACTGCTTTTCGCAGCAAATGTAAATCTGCGCTTGAAGACAAGTCAATGGTATTTGTAAAGCAGAGAACACACCCATATACTTACATATGCTTTTAGATATGTGAACACATACACTCATACATATGTATACAATCTTGTAGTGAAATGTGCGCGCCTTATAATGCATCTGCTGATCATTGAAAGTCATTCACACGAACGACCGCCATAAAACGAGCGTTAAAGTTGTATATCGACAACAACAACAACAATATAAATAAAGCAGCAAACATATGTACATACTTACATATATTGGGGTGCATAGCAACAGTTGTGATAGCAGTTATGGCAAGGTAATAAACGTGTAGCGCGCAGGGTTTACGGATTTCAAGCAGTCAAAGTAAAGAGTATTTGCTTGGAATGTGTATAATACAAATTACTATCTACATGTGCGTCCAAAGTAAGCCAAATCACGTAGTTATATATGTGTGGAGCTACATTTTGAATACTAACAAGTATGCAAATGGTTCATTTTGTACAAAATGCTTTCTTAAATGTTTAATTAATTGTATGCATAGTTTGAAGAAAGCAATTATGGTGAGTTGCTAACAGAAGTGCTCTTGTTTGAAGCGCCAAAGTACTTTTTGGTGGAGATTATAGTTTATTGTCAATAAATGCAAATTACTAAATGTGATTTTTTTAAAGAAAATAATATGAAAGAAAAAACCAAAGAAAAAGTTTGCTGCGGTTGCACCGAAGCTATAACACCCTTCAAAGTTGCTTTTTTGTAGCACAAATGTGTATAAAAATGTCTAACTTTATTTGGCTCAGCCAGTTTGTATGACAGCAATTATAGTGGTCCGATCCGAAAAATATATTCGGAGATTGTAGCGTTGCTTTGGATAATAATCTACGCCGAATTTCATAA